AAGGGCATGAGTGACTATAAGGAGAGCCTCCCGGTCCTGCCCCAAGCTCTGTAAAATCATTCTGCAATATGTTGTAAATGAGTTTGTGTTCTAAATGGGTTTTATCTAGCTATCCTTTTCCTGAAAAATGTGTGTCTATCTACAAGAGCCTTTTGAAGCTCAAATCTGCTTGTGTGGGGAAATAATTTTCTTAAGTTACTTTTCTTAACTATCACTTATTGGTGAAACTACTATGAAGCTCTCCTGAAACATAAACATTTCTCAATCTCTAAAACAATGTGGTTTATTTTAGAATAAATGTTAAAGGCAGGTTTTATTTGCCTGTTTCTTTGACCACTGCAATATAAATGCCTTTTCAAACTGCCTGCAAGCTATCCCCCTTCCAATTCTTTTCTTGCCCTTGTTCTCCATACCTTTTGTCTGCCTTTCCTGGGAGAGTCTATCCAGAAAGGGGGGAGACCTTGTTCTTGTATCTTTCAGCCCTGCCCCCAAACCTTTGGAATACACAGACCCAGATGCTGCCTCCATCCATTTGAGCCATGGAATTGAGCTTTAAATCCAGCCATCCACTAAAAAGCCACCATGCAATCTAAGTGGAACATCTTCCCAAGTCCTACCATTTCCCCAGATGCCTGTGAGAGCTGCAGAAGGAAGAAGTCCTGGAGTCACTGGTGCTATGTGAAGCCTCAGAAGAGAAAATTAGACTATGGGGGGGGGAGGGTGGAAAGTCATTGTAAAACTTTTCTTTCTTGCCACATTTGTATTGTAACAAGCCAGTTGAATGAATTAATGGAAAGATGGCATTTGGGAATAGTTGGCACAACAAGTACTGAACACCTTGGACTTCTATCTGGTGGGAGGGAAAATTTATCCATAATGTTTGTATTGCCTATTGTATAAAAGTAGCTGCACATACATGCACACACACACATACCATTTACACCATTCAGAATCACATTGAGTCTATCCCCTCCACCTACCTTTAGTAAAGTTCCCCAGGCTGATTTTTGCTCTATTGCACCAAAGCTTTGTAGGAACAACTTCCAGCAAATTCCAAGGGGGAGGGAACTAGGCCCCCTCAGTTGATTTGCAATTCTTATGCCCTGACTAAGGAAGCAACAGGAAAGATCCCCAAACCTCAGCCCTGAATATCTTGCACAAGTGAGCCCAGATTGGGATTCCTAGAGCTCACTATGTGCAATTTAAGAAAAATTGAATAGCCTGGCATATTGGCTAACCTTAATTGAACATTACTAACCTGGATGCACTGAACTAAAAGCTAAGGCAGGCCACAATCCTTGAAAATGAGCAGCCAGTGGTTATGTACTAAGGAAAACCATGGCTGTGAAGAATTTTGGGAGGTATGTAAACCTGACTGGAAGCTAAAAGTGACATCCAACATTTCAAAATGATTGGCACAGAATATTGGACACTATAAATTTCTTTTTCACCTAACAATTTTTGCCTTGACTTTTAGAACTTTATGGGTTGCAAGCTCTCCTTTTGGGAGCAGGGATCTTTTTCTGCTGCCTCTATTAGTGTCTTATTTTTTGGCTTAACAGTTTAAAAGATTGTTTACCAAGTTTCCCTGACCAGATTAATTTTAATCTTGCCATTTAAGAGTGTCATTCACACACTTAAGGCACAAAGCGGGGATTGAGGGAAGTTAGCTCCCCCCAGAAGGAAATATTAAAAAGGAAAATATATTTTTCACCAAAAGGATTTTTTGAAAAGCAGAAACCAAACCTGGCCCCAAATTTCTTGGCCCCAAGCAAGAGCTAGCCTCATACAAATGCAAATGTAAAACCATCAGGAAGGTTGGAACCAGGGAACTCAAGACAAAGAAACTCTTAAGAGTCATTAGCCCAGCCCCAGGGAAGCAGGAGATGACTTTTGGGATATAATAGGACTAACCATTACCATCAAGTATACCATAGAGGCACACCTAAACTCAGGTCAGAATACGTGACACAGGAAATAGCCTCAAAGTTCATGCCACAGGAACAGGAAGCTATTCCAAACAAAAGGCTAGGGGGGGTATAAAAACCCCAAGCCCATGTGCTCAGCCCTTCTCTCCTCTGCTCTTTCCTGAAGAACCATCTTTCTGCAATAAACTGTAACCTTCTTCCCAAAGCAGTCGCCATGTTGCTTATTTATTCCTGGCTTGGATGAACCAGGATGAAGACTTTACTTCTAACAATACTTCCTTCCTTCCTTCTCATCTCTTTCTTTCCTCCATGCTCAGGAAGGGGGAACGGGGAGAGATTGCCAGCACTGCCATGTTGCCACCGGTCTTGCTATCCCATGGGGGGGTCTGTCCCAGTGAAAGGAAAGCCTCGTGGCTGCGAGGCTGGAGGTGCTGGGGGGGCTGCACTGATCTACAACCTGATTACATCCGCGCTCAGCCTAAAATTCATGGAGCATCCCCACCCTGCCCCCTGGTGTGCACACAAGTGAAGTCCAGCGTCCCTGCTGGCTGTCTTGCCCTGCAGGCTGACTTCAACCAGGATGCCGGCGCTGGCCATCTCCTGTGCACATACCTGGGGGGCAGGACAAGAGGCAGCGGGGCAGTTCCTTGCTGGTTCCAGTGGATCATAGCTGAGTGCATTCTGGCTTTGATGGATGTAACCAGATTGTAGATCAGTGCCACCCCCCCACCAGCACCTTCAGCCTTGCAGCCATGAGGCATCCCTTTCAACGGGCCTGCCCCCGCCCGCCCACATGGTATAGGAATGGCCAGCAGCAGCATGTTAGTGCTGGCAATCTCTCCCCCTCCCATCACCCCTTCCTGAACGCTGGGGAAGGAAAGAGATGAAAAGGCAAAGGAAGGAACCGAGGAAGTAAGGAAGGAACAGAGGGAGTAAGGAAGAAATGGAGCAACGGAGGGTTGGAGGAATGGAGGGAGGAACAGGGTGGGAGGGAGGGAAAAAAGGGAGAGGAAGGAAGGAACAGAGGGAGGAAGGAATGGAGTGTGGGAGGAAGGAAGGGAGGAAGGAACGGAGGGAGGGAGGAACAGAAGAAAGAAGGAAGGGAGAGTGGGAAGGAGGGAGGGAAAAAGGGAGGGATGGAAGAAGGAAAGAACAGAGAAAGGAAGGAATAGGGAGGAAGGAATGGAGGGTGAGAGCAAGGAAAGAAGGAATGGGGGAAGAAGGAAGGGAGAGTAGGAGGGAGGGTGGGAGGGAAGAAGGAAGGAACAAGAAGGAAGGGAGGGAGGAAGATAGGGAGAGAGGAAGGAACGGAGGGTGGGAGGAAGGAAGGAATAGAGGAAGGAAGGGAGAGTGGGAGGGACCATGTCCCGGCGCTCGCCCCATCCCACCCTCCTCCACCGGAGACCCTCAGATCTGCCCAAATCCTGCCCAGGCACCTCTGAAGCGAGTGTTGTAGAGCTGGCTACACTCACCCAGCAGGCCATGCCCACCCAGTAAGCCACATGCATCCTGGCCACACCCTCCCAGCCCCCCCCCCCAGGGCAACCACAATGCTGATGCGGTCCCAATGAAATTGATTTTCTCCTGATCTGAGTACTGTACTTGTTGAGGCCTTTATGTGAGCATATAATTTTCTGAGCCTTCTCATGCTGCTGATCAAACAGAAAAGGGTTTCATCTAAACAACTCTTACCAGAAGTCAACATTTCAACACCAAATATATATTTTAACATTTTTATTCAGAAAATATTACCTATCAAAGTCTGTGTTTAGTACCAGTTGAACGACACATTGTTTGGTACTTCATCAGATGAATGTGATGACTTTCTAGGCTCCCTAAATAAAGCCTGCCACATAACTAATAATTACAATTTTATAATATTGCAGTGCAAATTAAGTACCATTAATATCCAATTCTTTCTTTTTAAAGACCATGTATATTATATATTTCTGAAATCAACCAATATACATGAATGACTTTAAATGGAATTGCTTTGAACTGCATGATTATAAAATCTGTGCAGGTTCAACTAATATATATATAGATGTTTATCTAAATAAATTCCAAATTGGCTATTCACAAAGATGGTGGGATAGTAGGTATTATGGGATATGTTCCAACAGAAGAACATATCAGTGGATTCAGGAAGAAACTGTGGAATTCTTGGTGCTCTTGGTTGTTTGTGTACAGGTGTTTCATAATCCAATTAGGTAAAATCATCAATTTCATTACCCAACTTGCACTGATGATGTTATCTCGTTAGGTAATGAAATGTTTAATGGCAAACAACCAAGAGCTCCACACTATTTTATGTGCTTCTTGTTTTTGTTTGATTAATCTGTATATAATATACATTCTGATAAACATGTTAATTTTGCTTGCTGAGTTTTCTCAAGTGTTCCTTAATTCCATTCATCTTAAAATTTTGAAAACATGTTATTAAAGTTTGCTTTTTGTTCCAAATATTAGAGATTGAAAATCCAGATAATGTTGCATGACAATAGTTGTGGGAATTACTACAATGCAGAGATAGTAAACCTACAATTAAAATGATATTATTTTACTATTAAAGATGAGTTCTGTTAGTCTAAACCATTGCAGTTAAACGGATAAAGGTACATGCTTAACTCCGGTGAAATCAATGTTGAATTGAATTTTTACCTGTTTTAGTTTTCAGAAAGATTGAATATTCATATTGCACTATACATGTTCAACAGAAATAAATTAAGTTAATTTAATTGTTTATAGCATTTGTTTTGTGTTGGCATGCTAATATTTTTTAATGTAAGTAAAAAAGCCATAAAAACTGATAATAACTTTATTCCACTGAGAAATGTTCTGAAAAATGCTGTCTTGAAAATAAACATTTCACTTTAAAATATTAGTAATTATTTATGATCTTAATAATTACTGTATATTCTACTTCTAACAAATAAAGAAATACCATAATTACTGCTGTAAAAAAAATTATACTATATACACAGGGGCTATACTTCTTTAATCATTCAGACAAATATTCTTTGATTAAAAAAAACTAAGTCAAATAATTTTTAAAATACATTTATTACTCACATACTGTTGAAGAGTTCTCTGTAAGTTTCATCACCTTTTCCTTCTGACATCAAGCTATCCAATCTGTCAATCAGTTTTGCTTCCACCTGTAATATATATGTACTCACAAAGATGTTTAGAGGTTTTAAATCAAACTCAAAATAAAATCTACAGAGGAACAAGTATTTTCTAGAAATATGTTCCTTTCATAATGACTAGATTTAGAGTTTAAAAAGCTAAGGGAATAGATTACATTAACTCTTTGTACAATTCAAATAATTTCATAGTAATAATCATATATATAATACATATACAATAATATAAATAATATAAGCTGGCTGTAAAATAAATAAAAACAGATTACCTAAGCCCCCTGCTTGGCATTCTCCCCACATCTACAGTACTAATAAAAAGACACATTGTATATGCCTCAGCATAAAAACTTTTTCCACTGCTCCCGTCATTCTCTCAAGTAGTACATTGCATTATTATAACTTATATTCCTATCTATGTTATTTAACAGTCTGATTCTATCATCTAACCCTATTATCCAAAAAGCTTGGTGAAATAATAGAACAACAGAATGACAGAGTTGAAGGAACCTTGGAGGTCATCTAGTTCAACTCCCTACTCAGGAAGGAAACCCTATACCATTTCAGACAAATGGTTGTCCAATCTCTTCTTAAAAACTTCCAGTGTTGGAGTACCCACAACTTCACGAGACAAATCATTCCACTGATTAATTGTTCTAACAGTCAGGAAATTTCTCTTTAGTTCTAAGTTAGTTTTCTCCTTGATTAGTTTCCATTTATTGCTTCTTGTCCTGTCTTCAGGTGCTTTGGAGAATTGGTTGACTCCCTCTTCTTTGTGGCAGCCCCTTAGATATTGGAACACTGCTATCATGTCCTTCTTTTCATTAAACTAGAGATATCCAATTCCAGCATCCGTTCTTCATAAGTTTTAGCCTCCAGTCCCCTGATCACCTTTGTTTCTCTTCTCTGTACTCTCTCTAGTGTTTCAAGATCTTTTTTACATTGTGGCAACCAAAACTGGATGCAGTATTCAAAGTATGGTCTTACCAAGGCATTATAAAGTGATCTTGTATAGATAGAATCACGTAATCTTGATTCTATCTCTCTGTTAATGCAGCCTAGGACTGTGCTAGCTTTTTTGGCTGCCGCCACCTAACACTGTTGGCTCATATTTAAGTGATTTTCCACTAGGACTCCAAGATCCTTCTCGCAGTTACTACTATTGAGCCAGGTGCCACCTATTCTGTATTTGTGTTTTTGGTGTTTCTTGGCTAAATGTAGAACCTTACTTTTTTCACCACTGAATTTTTTTTCTCATTGAATTTCATTCAGTTATGTGATTAATTTGTTAGATGGATAGATAGATAGATAGATAGATAGATAGATAGATAGATAGATAGATAGATAGATAGAATGAATCTAGCAAATGAGAACCGCTACAGAATGTAAATTTGGTAGTTTGGTAGCTAATGATAGTTAATTAAATAAGTGTGTAAAAACTGGAACAAATTGTTCTTGTATGACTAACGTTACCCTGGAAAATTCTTTCTTATGAAGTATTGGTAAATGTGAAACTTGGGAGAAGGTTTCTTGAAGTGTTATTGGAAAATAAATGGTATGTGAACTCTGTGTCCCTAAAGGCCAAGATGTTTTTCCCCCATCTCTTCTTAACCCTCTGGAGACCATTATCTTGTGATCTCCTTGTGAAAAGCAACTATCTGAAAAACTTTTTAGTGATCCCAATTCTTTCTTTCTCAGGAGAGGAATCACAAAGAGCCAGTACATTTACCAGCTCTATCTACAGTCATCAGCTTGCAATCTCAGCAGATTCAGATTCAGTTTGCTATCACAAACTGAAGATAACAAACTGAGACAACTATGATCTGAATGACTGAGAATCTCCATAGACACTTCAGTTTGCTATTTCTTCCTCAGAAGTACTTTTCTAATCATTTTTGAGAATTGCTTCTTAATTGCTTTTCATTTAATAGGAACTTTTGGGATGACAGGTTTTACAGCACTAGGTGAGTCTCCTTCAATCCTTCACAAAAGAAAATTTAAATACACTTTTAAGGATTTAAAAAAAAATAAACAGAAAAGAGTAATTAGCATTGATTTTGGAAAATTACAAATGGACTAAATGTCCAGGTTAATTTGAAATATGATTTCTTAAAAAACTGATAGAATGGGACTTTGAAGATTGGATCCTAGAGGCAACCTAAACAAAATAAAGATTGCAGTTAACGGAAAAGAACACTTAAATTTGACTTACTAATACAAAAGGAATAAAATACTTTAACTTTGGCCATGCTGAAGAATATTTGTGAACCCTGAAAAGTTAATTTTAAGTGTGTCCATCATGTATTTTAAAAATGTTATAGAAGAGGGAACATATTTTATCAAACAAGATTTACACTGATCTGAAAGTAGACTTAAAAATGAGTGGTTACAAGAATGATATGGAATAAGATGTTAGACTGAATATATAAATGAAACTAGTTAATATCTTAATAATTACAAGGGATATACCAATAACAAACTAAAAGAACAACATGGGTAACTTTCTTATATTGCATTATAAAATAGACTTGCTGAACTTTGGAAGAATTTTGTGAGAAGGAACAAGACACTTGTTATGATGAATAGGAGAATAATTTATATACGTCTTTTATTTTTCTTTTCTATTTTTCTTTTTCTTTTATATTCTTAATGTCCTGCACTTTCTATTATATATTTTTATTCTTTTATTTTTCTTAGTTTGTATTAGTTTTTATCTTTCTGATTATAATGTTTAATACAATTACTATAAAAAAGGAAAATAAATGATAGCTGTTAACTTTAATGGTAATAAATTATGCAGAGAGAAATCATAATGTATGAATACTATATAAACGGAAAATAGTCCATATAAAATAACTATGAATCTACTTGTAGAATGCTGTATATATTTAGCCCTCATAAAAAAACAGTGAATCTATAGAATCTACTAATATTGCATATTCATATGCACATGAACCCTTTCTCCCCGCCCCCCGATATTGTTGCAAATTTTACTCCTTTTATTCTGCTATTTCACTTCAACAATTTAGTGCTTTTGCTTTGCTACATTTGAAACAGTAGGAAAGCGAACATGCAGAATTCTTTGATGCTACACCAAGAAGTAGAATACAAATTGCAATAGCAGATGGCACATTTAATACTTCCTTGCTTGGCATCTCAGAGAGCTTAAAATGAATTGGATTATGGTACAACTCGGCAAACTATAAGGGTCAGATTTGAAAATATGAATATTGCACCATATTATGATAGATTCTTACCAAAACATATATTTCAAACAATATGTTTCTCAAGGAGTATTTCTTATATTTCAAGTAATCTTGAAATAGGAAATTTCTGTACATTTTTTTTAATCAAAAACAGTTTTGTTGAGTAAGAGCCAAATATTTATTTTAGGTTAACTCTTTAGTTGCAGACATCGTTCCTTGGTATTTACTGTTATTTGAACTTCATTATATGCTGTGAGCATCTTTCAGAAAGAAAGGGAAGAAAGCAGCTTCCAGCCAATAATGCGAGAAAAGATTTTGAGACCAGACAAGACCATTATCAGAAGTCTATAGAGGCAGCATCAGTATCCAGGGCTTAAAGAGCAAATAGCAGAAAGTTTATAGTGTAAAATCCAACTGTTTTGTACAGATCTATCTTGGTAAGGCCCTGCTCTCCTTCAGAAGCAGCAAAGAAGGTTGCATTTGTAGAGAAGGGGGTTATTTTGCAATGAGATGACCTATATGCGGAAAGTATTTCAGGAGATGATTCAGTTGCAATCTCAAATGGTACAATGAAAGAAAATCCAATAAATTAATTGTAAGTGACCAAGGAAATGACCATGAAAAGGGCATCCAGTAGCCATCAGGACAGACCTGGGGATTTTACAGCAATAGTCCACATCTGGCCCTTTGGCTGTCCCTGTCTAGCTCACATGATATTGAAGTGGAATAAAGTGGAATAACATAGAATAAAATGAAGAATAAAGTAGAATAATAATGATGATGATGAAAAATCATTATTCAAGTAAAATGATGTGTCTGTATAATTCCTGGAAGAAAGCTGTGTTAGCAAAAGCTGTGTTAACAATACATGACTGACCTAATGCACGTTGAGAAACATTGTATAAAGTAAAACTCTCTTCATTGTATGCCTGTGAGAAACTAACCGAATGATATACAATGTAGATTCCATGTGTGCTCCTTTGTTCCTGAGAAAGAGAGAGCTATAAAACTGTAGTTTGAACCCACCCCCTTTGTTCAGAATTTGCTGTTTTTAACCAGCTTCTGAACCTTGCGCAAATAAACCTCTCTGTTACACCCTTTGGAATTCCTAAAAGTCCTTTTGTTTTCCACAAGAATATTAATTGGAAATAAGAAATCAAATGTAAATATGTGTCACAGAGGATGAAGCCAAGCTGGGTCTCTGTGAGTCACTATGTACTCCTTCAGTCAGCTGGTGGCCATGGGAGGATGAGGAAAGTACTTTTCTGCACCTGTCAGTGTGTAAGAGTTTATGAACTGGAATAGCCATAGCAATGAATCAGCCAATGGGAACTGTTTTTTAACTGAGACACAGGATTGACTGCGAGAAGCATATGATCCAGCCTAGGTCTGGGCGTGTCTTAGTCTCTCCCTGTGTCCTGATCTCCTGAATTAGTTGTTGTTCTCTACCATGTTGCCAAGATCTGAATGAAACTGTATGTATCATGTTTATATATATTTTACAGATAAAGTTTTTTGAAACTATGCCTCCTGCTCATTTTGAATGTGTGCTTATTTTTTGGACTTATTTTTGCACTGGAAAGCTGTAAACTCTAACAGGTTATGGGCCCAGATCCCAGCCAGCCCTTGCATACAGTTCAGACTGAAGAAAAAGATTGAGGCTCAATACAGAGCTGTAATTAAGCTGAAGGACTGTCTGAGTTAAATAAAGAAAAAGATAAAGGTAGAAGACTCAGCTGAAGGCTTGCACGATGGCTGATTTAAAGGAGAGCTCTCTGCTCTCCTTTTGTCGATTGGGACAAAAGAATT